TTCAAATCGAAATCGAAACTTAAAGATTACTCAGCCATAAATATAATTGTTGTGCTTCCAGGGGCAGCCAGAATAGTACAGAGAAACCTGAAAAGCTGGACAGAGTGAAGCCGTCCAAATCGATTGATTAAGCAAACGGGGTAACGTCACTTTATAGGAGTCACACTATTGTCCTGTCGTGCTTCGACATATGGTGCAGTATGAAAATGGCGACACTTAACATAGAAGACACGTTGACGTGAAAAGTTTCGTGTTTGACAATGTGACGTCACAGACGTTGACGTGGGTTCTACAAAGTGACGTGAGAGGACTAGGTTGTACTCTCTACTTCGGCTCGTGTGAGCCTAACGTCGTTACCGTTGTACATTTCTACTGTTAGACACTTCGTATTAAGTAGATTACGTGGAACTTGTGTTTTGTAGTGGCTGAACAAAGTTAGGGAATTACTCTCGCTAGCTGCCTTGAAGGTTGTATTTATGTAGAGAACGTAGTGACATTTATCCTTTATACAATAAAGAAAACTACTAAATGTTTATTCTATAAATAGTCTGTCTATTATATTCAAATTCACATAACTTTGTTCAGTCAAACAAAAAGTTTTAGAGACAAAAAATAACTAAAAGTAATTTTTAGTATTTAAACCTTTGCGTCTTATTGACGTTAACATGTTTCCTGTAAAGCAAACTTTAGGTAAATATGTTTATCTAATTAAATGTATTATTTACATAGACTGTGATCTAGTATTACTTCACGATGTTCTATTTTAAAAACAGCAGGTGAGATCGATATTTTCGGGTTTATGTAACTCGGAATTCCGAGTTATTGTCATTCAAGGTTTGTGGGTATTTTAGTGTGAAACGTTTCGAGTTGTGTTGCAATCCACTGCATTAGTATTTTATTGTCATTTAAAAGACTCATATGCAGGATGAGGTTGTATTTCCTATCGCTAGTCCTAAGCAGTTTCGCTGGAGATCAGCCGCTGTAGATAACGTCACTGTCCTGTCTTCTTTTCTGTAACAGCTGTATTTTTTACTTACCACTAAGATCTATCGACTGTTTATATTTTAAAATAGAATGATCGTCTCTTGGCCTGTGAGTAATGAGGTGTATCTACTAAGTGTGTAAGCGAATGTTTTCGTCTTGTACCATGATAAACGTTCAATTAAATTATTTTTTTATTTATTGGAGCTAAAAGTATTATGATGCTAGTCGTGTTATATTATGTTTTAAAGATATTTATTAATGTTACTGTCGAACGTAAACTTACGTCCAATCGCTTATGAAGCTTGTTTTGTGCAATATTGAAATACTGATTTCAAGTAAAGTAATTGAGATTATTTTGTTACCAGTACGTATAAGTGTCAGCAATATTTTAGGGTTTTTAATATGAATGTAATCATTTAGTACAAGGGATGGGCTGGCGCTGTTTTAGCTCATGTACACATTGGCCCGTGACATTGTTTCCATCGACGGGTTACTGTAATTAAGTAGCGCTCGTCTTAACTATAGCGACAATGCACGGTAAAATGAGTGATTAAGTGCAGAAGCCACAAGATTTTAAAATAAATTTTAAATCTTTTTGGATAAAAACTTTTAGTATTAATGAAATAATTATAATGAAACGTCAAACTTTATCTTTTACCAATGATGTAGTCCGAGTAAAGTAATCAATTAAATAGATTTCCGTTTGATATCTTGTATTTAATTGTTTTTATAGAAAGAAACTATATTAAGAGAGCCTTCGAAACAATATGTCGGTGTCAAATAATGTGCAATTTTTACTGTTGTTAAAATAGTTTAGATAATATCCGCTTCCATGTTGGCAAAATGAAAAGAAACCGTTAATAAGACAAATTGTTATCTATCCTTAATCCTTTTACAAAAATCTTTTGAGTGTTGGTTCTAAAGGTCACTCTGGTAAATCAAAATTTAATAAAAATAAAGCACAAGTCATATATGCCACATTATGAAGTTAACCTACGTGATAATCATATCATTATATGTTATCAACATCCACCATTTGTATACATGCTAATACAAGTTTTTTTTTATTCTGCCAATATGGAAGCCACATAGTCCAGCTGTTGTGAAATAGACTATACCTAATATAATAAAACTAGACTTACGACTGTTCTTAACTAGCTATTTTATTAACAAACTTTTATTTAGGTAATAATTTTCTTGTAAACTAAAAAATATGTGAGCCACACGAGATCATTTCTTCACACATGTTCTTTATTTAAAATTATTTACAAAATTAGTAACATATAAATTTGTTATTTCTTTGTATATTTTATTTTTATTATTTGTGATTAATTAATTCTTTTTTTCGACATTCGTTTGCTCATTCTAAATTTAAGTTTAAGATGAATTTTAACCAATAAATCGATCGAAAAATATATCGTCCAAAGGAATTCATTTATTTTTATAAACACAGGACAATCGGTTATAGCATCTTCAAATATTATATCTATCAAGATTATATTTTCATCAATATCTTCGTTTACATAAAAGAAATTTCTTCAAAGTACGCTTCTCAGAACAATAAAATATACTATCTTCGTTATGATTCGATCAATTTGTATAAAATACCTACTGAATGTGTTTTGACGAATAAAATATTGTGAACAATATTGTTGTGTTTTAAATTCAGACCTGTGTATAAATTGTGATAATTGTATAAGAAATAAGTATAATATAAATTATGTACATATCATATGAATTATACCAAAGGAGATAGAAAGCCATTTAATGCAGGTTTGCAATGCAAGCGACCAAATGGATTTTTTTATAGTAGACCGTCGAGTATCTTTTGTGGTGCCAAGGGATGATGCAACCTATGATGGAGCATGCCTACCTATAAATAACCTATAACCTGTCGGGAAACACAAACGAAAAGAATCCCGAATGATGTGTGGGAGAGCCATGTTTGATGTATGGGAGAACCATGCTTCGGCACGAATGGGTCGGCTCGACCGGAGTGATACCACGGCCTTACAGAAAACCGGCGTGAAACAATCACAGCGTTGTGTTTCGCCGTGTGAGTGAGGTTACCGGAGGCCCAATCCTTCCCCTTCCCGGACCCTTCCCCAATCCCTAAATCTCCAAATCCCTAATCCCTAAAGGTCGGCAACGCACTCGTTACTCCTCCGTTGCGGGTGTCCATGGGCGGCGTTGATTGCTTACCATCAGGTAAGTCTGCTCGTTTGCCGACTTATTACATAAAAAAAAATTATACTTAAGGAGATAGAAAGCCATTTAATGCATGCTTGCAAGCGACCAGCTGGATTTTTGATAGGGGACCGTTATCTTTTGTGGTGCCAAGGGATGATGCAACCTATGATGGAACACGCCTACCCATAAATAACCTATAACCTGTCGGGAAACACAAACGAAAAGAATCCGTGTCCGTTACCCAGGCCAGATGTTGTCTACAATGGTCATTTGAATCTTATAGATAAATTAGTTGTGCGGCTTCTGTAATTGTTGCGCACATTTTTAAATTTGTTGCACTTATAGTTTTTTAATTATTTCACAAAAACATTTCCTGCTGGCGTAACGTTACCACAGCCAGACCTTTTTCTTTCTAATGGGAATATTTAAATAAATATTAGCTATAAAATTAGTTGTCTAGATAAAGTAAATGTTGTGCCTTATTTTGTATTTGTTCTTTCTTCGGTCGCGAAGTTATTCGAGATTTTGCTGCGGTAACGTTTTTGGTTTTGCTAGATCTTTGAAATGGTTAAGTGGATTCTTATCATATTTTGTACACGACTTCCGAGGACTTAGTTTAAATTTGTTGTGGAATAACAAAACCAAAATAATGCATATTTTAAAGGTTTTTTCATTAAATAAAAAAACACTTCAATTGGCCCCAGCACTCTCAATAAAAAGTCTAAAGACTTATTTTAAACGTAATTTTAAAGCTTGTAACTGCCTTCAAATGTATGTGAAGTTTCATTAGTATCCCGTAAGTATTTAACAAGTTATGATGATATTCAGTTCTTCACGAGCACGGTCGTAATGCACGCGGTGTTATTTGGCCACTGGATTGGATATATAAACTGAATGTTATGTCAATGATTAGTTGTTTAGATCAGTTGTATATCAGTAAAATTTCAGCTCAATACATTGGATAATAATGAGATAATACTATTAAAGACATTAGGAAGTGAATGACCGTGGTAAGCCGACCAAGTTTATGTTGTTACGAAAAAGCGAAAAATTTGAAGGCAGTTACAAGCTTTAAAATTACGTTTAAAGTAAGTCATTAGACTTTTTATTGAGAGTGCTGGGGCCAATTGAAGTGTTTTTCTATTTAATGAAAAAACCTTTAAAATATGCATTATTTTGGTTTTGTTATTCCGCAACAACTTTAAACTAAGTCCTCGGAAGTCGTGTACAAAATATGATAAGAATCCACTTAACCATTTCAAAGATCTAGCAAAACCAAAAACGTTACCGCAGCAAAATCTCGAATAACTTCGCGACCGAAGAAAGAACAAATACAAAATAAGGCACAACATTTACTTTATCTAGACAACTAATTTTATAGCTAATATTTATTTAAATATTCCCATTAGAAAGAAAAAGGTCTGGCTGTGGTAACGTTACGCCAGCAGAAAATGTTTTTGTGAAATAATTAAAAAACTATAAGTGCAACAAATTTAAAAATGTGCGCAACAATTACAGAAGCCGCACAACTAATTATCTATAAGATTCAAATGACCATTGTCGACACATCTGGCCTGGGTAACGGACACAAAGAATCCCACTCCTTAGCAGTTCTGAGGATAAAACAGATAATAAATCGGTTTATTGCAGAAGGCCTACATTATATGTGCAGCAGTGGATGTCTCAGGACTGTCCATATTGATATTCATGATCATGACATGTACCAGTCGAACAGACAAATTACAATTAGGATGCAACTCAGTTCAAAGTATTTTAATGAAATTAAAATTAAATATGAACAACAAATTGTCTTAGCAAATAAGGCGTACTTACTGTCTATTATTATACCTTATCACCAAACAAATCATAAATTTAAGTTGTGTCCAGTGTGATCATCTTTGTTGCCATGCATTATTTATGCCTTTTTTCTACTTTAATCAAGTGCCCTGATAAAGGTTTGATCATTATTTTACATACGAATTTCAGTTTAGTGTGATCAGCTGTAATCTTGTACTTGCGCAACAATGATACTACAGTTGCTTTTATATACAATATGGCGTAATTTTTGCCTGAAAGAAGAAAACACCGTTTATTATAGCCCATGGTGTCTTAGCAGTAAGCCCATCGGTTGATTCTAACATTTTTGGCGACAAAATGATACCCTGAGGTACTCCTTTGGGCATAAAACTATTGCCATCTTACCTATTGTCATCCATATAAAGTTCTCTAATATGACTTAAGTAAACTGTAAGTAGTATTTCCATAGAATTAGTGTATTATGTGTGACTTATTTATAATTCGATACTTTTAAGTGAAAATGTCTACAATTTAAGCGTATGAAATGACATCAACCTCAAAAGCCTTTCATGAAACATCAAAAATATCTAAGTAATGCAGCTTACCAACACATCCCCTTTTTCCTGGACCGAAGCTAGCAAATGCAGCTTGATGAGTTGGCAAAGTAGTAGAATCTAACCATCTCTGTGGCTTGAATTCATTCGCATCCGAGCCCCAATATTTTGGATTTCTATTTATACCCCATACGTGCACTATAATAGAACTGCCCGCGGGTATGGTTGCATTACCTGAGAAAAAAATAATATTTCCTAGCGTTGCTTTATTGGAATTCTATGACGACTATACCTATGTATATATATATACATACGAGCGGCTGCGGGGTACCTAACATATACTTTACAGTTAAAAATGTTGAAACACCGTTGAAGATATAATAAACTAATGTTGAAAATGTCGTCTTCAACGCCGTTTCTCACTCGACACTAGTTTCGTGCGGAAATTGAACCCGTGACACGTTAAACGGCAGTCAGTCCCCCAGCCACCGCGCCAACCGTGCTATCACTCACACACAGACTTCCATTTGTAATTAATTATTTACATTCCATAATCACAAAAGTATTCCATAATCTTAGGAAATCAAAAATTAAAATCACACTTACGCAATTTTGTATGTGTTGTCGTCTGTCGCCCTGTCATTGGTGCAATTGGATATAATCTGATAGCTTCTTTGACAACTGCATCTAAATATACCATTTGAGATAAATTATCGCTTCTAAGAGATCCATCTTCGCCTAAAACTAAATTTATTCTGAAAGAAAAGTTTCGATTCAGACACGGTCAAATATAAATTCAAAGGCCATAAAATTAGTGTAAACAAACAATAGATAATATACACTTACTCTTCAAGTAACTTGTCTTGCACATCGGAACTACTGCCGATGCAGGTTAAAACGAAGAGTATCTGATAGATAGTGGTATCGAAGGCAGCAAGGATCACATTGTCCATTATGTTTCTCAACTCAACATCAGTGAAAACGCTATCGGTTTCAGTTACTGAGTTTTCCAAAAGTACATCCAACACGCTTTGAAATCCACCTAAAGATAAAAAAATACAAGTTATTAGAATAGATTTTCCACCAATCTACGCTTGATCCATTTAATCTCCCACTATAAAATGAAAATGCGCATCGTGCATCCGAAAATGTAACGATTGGGTATACCTTTGTTATTGATATCCTCTTTTTGTTGTAAACGTTGTAAGTGTTCCGCTTTTCGTAGCTGTATTGTCTGGAAAAAATACATAATAATTGTTTATCGTATGCACCTTGAATTTGGAAAACTGAAAAAATATAATATTCAATGTAGTAAGTATATAGTGTTTAAAAAGATGTTTCTTCATATTAGGATTTTCTCCTAAGTCATGGGTTCGTTTACAAACATGCAATTTCTCATTCATATCACACCCAGACATGGAAACATAAGTTAAGGTAATACACTGTGTTTTTTAAAGTACCACAAGAATCAAATCCTATACTCACTTCCTTCGAAAACTCAAAGACGGTTTCCAGTGCTTCGTCTAACTTCTTTCTGTCACTGGATAAGTTAAAAATAAAGTCGATGATGAACCAAGGTTTGTATATTCTACCAGAGAGCGTGTTTAGGCAGACGTTTATCGCCTGTGCGTACTTGTCATTGATTTCATACTTCCCATCAAGGTTAATCCCCATAGTGGTTACTGAAACAAAATGTTCATCCTGCACTTTTTTTACAAATTTCTCAGTAAACAAGACTACAAAAACCAGAATATCTTCATGATTTACTCTTATTTCAACTTAAAGCTTGGAGTTAGCTTCAGCTTTAGCTTTGGGCAATAGCTTCTTTATATTAAAGTAAGATTAAAAAATATGTAACTATAGCTTAAAGTTTTATTGTGTACCTACTTACATTTTGTTACATTATTGCCTTAGGTCAGATTCCTAGAAATATTTATATAAATATTTTAGATTACACCTAATTTCGTACAAGTGCAATACTGGCACTAAATTTAACTACTTTTAAATGAATAAAAGTAGTCAGTCGCGTATTTTGTCGCTTTCTCTAATAAATAAAGACTTAGAAAAGGACAGAGAAATTGACTTTGTTTTACACTAAGCAGTGATCAGCCGAGATACTCACGGCAAGTAGTCTCTAAAATACTTCTTGTGATTTTCTTCCTAATGTCAACTTCACCCTGACCGACGTCTTCTGCAAGCGCCTCAACAAACCGCTCAGCTCGTTCGTTGAACACTTGAAGATAGTTGTCCAGTATGTGCTGCTTGAAGCAAAGGTCCACTATCCTTCGATTCCGTTTCCATGTTGGTACTAAAATATTTGTTAGTTAAAACAATATCGAAGTAACTATTTTATTTAAATTACTTGTTTCTCGCTTTAGTGTTTTCGATTCGGCAATCGCTAATCTATCAAATTACATACTGTAGGGCTGTGACTGGCTGACAGTTACCCAAGAACACAGTTAGCTATATTTTTTATATGGATTTCCATTGTCATCGTAATCAGCCTGACGATATCCACTTAACGATGTCCTTTCTCTTCGATCCCCTTTATACCCTTAATGAACTGTGTTTATTCGGCAAAAGACATGATTGCCAGGGACAAAAAAATATACATTAAAACAAAATAACAATTATTGTTTAAAAACAGAAAGACAGAAAAAAGGTATTAGGCTAAACTCTAATACTAAAACAGGCTAATAATAATAGATATGGTATACCATGCAGTGTTGGCAGAAATGACCAATCCAAATAGGTCGCCAACTCGTATTTTTATTTTGACAATAAAAATGAATAGGAAATATGTATAAGGTAAAGCTAATAAATAAGTATGTAAGAAATCACCTTCAGCAGCAATCAGCATTTTGCCAACCATTGGTTCTATAAATTTGTACACGAACAACTTGTCCAAACATTTGTTGAGGACTATGGAGACATCTTCTGGGTCGGTCACAACTGGAAAACACAAGAAGAGCAAGCAAGGGAATTGATGGGTGTTATAGAAACAGCAATCTGGGGATCACCAATGGGTCCCATTGACTGATTTCCATAAGTTGGCTTTTTAGACTCAGCTTTTATATCACCATTCCTGACATTAGGCTTATGAACCGGTTTCACCATCAGTGTATTAGTAACCGATAAATGAATGTTTGTGAATTCACATAAATTGCGTTCTGAATTCAAATTCATTTGGTACATTGCAGCCGTGATTGCAGCTATCCCAAGTATTGCAGCAGGTCCTACAGCAGGAGAAGGAGTGGAGGGCTTTTTTGACAAAAAAGGAACTAACATAGTACTAACCTTTAATTTTTCGCAACGCAAAATAAATCAGCGTGCCAAGTGAGTACTTTTAATAGTTATAAAAAATAAATTTAACGTTACAAAATGTTCCATTCAACCGGGGTTCTTCGGCAAGCGCAATAAAATAGAAGAAAGAACAGTTTTCAGTCAATAAGAGCCCTCACCCTGGGAGAGAGCGATTTTTTCCCTCAATAAACAAAACGTTAAAAAATATAACTAACCATAAAAGGGCATGGGTCCAATATAACACTTAGCAACACCTCCATTCTTCATAGAATACTCCCCAAATGACACCACATTGAGAAATGCCTCTGTAAAAAACAATGTTATTCTTTTTTTTTTAATTTTTACAAATTAGCAAAACGTGATAACCTGCCTTATAATTAAATGACAGGGAAGTATTTGCTTTACTTTAGTACATATCCATAATATAAATTTGTTTTTCTCATATAAAATAAAACTTAATTGTAGCCGAAATGCAATAAAAGAAAAGTACTTCTCTACATGAAGCAGCCAACAATGAATGTTGGAAAGTCCCATGGTATCTTAGCTATAGAGATTCATTTGTAGGTATTAAAACAAAAAAATATAATCTTTTCAATAAACCTGAATAAAAATAAAGCTACTTAAAGAAGTACTACCCTCACTCAGAACAGTAGTTCCGAATGTTCATGACATAATTTTCTATAAAGAGGAAATATGTTTGTACAACAAATGAACTCGTAACCTCTTGTATTGCAGATGCTCTCCAGCTACGATAAGAGTTAACCCTAACCGAAGCTTTATTGTTACTGATAGTTTATTTCTGGATCTTTTCCTGGACCCGTTTTATTGCCATGCCTTGTATGTGAGGATCTCTCTTGCTAAAAACACAAGCCTACTTTTGAGCTTCACTGGAGTCAAATCACATCACAAAATTATTGATTAGAAAGCTCACCTATTTAACTTTATGGACTTACCTTCTGTATTTATAAGTTTGTGAGCATGGCCAATGAAGGGCAATTTTCCTGGAAATGTAGCCACTCGCTCATTCTCTGGGAAGTACCAACGACACAGGAGCAAATACACCAACCACATACATATTAACGTTATAAATATGGTCACTATCATTATTTTTATAATTGTCTTAATAAATAACCACAAAATATTTTATGCTAATTTTGACGAGAGCATTTAATTAACCACTGTGGCGTCCGTTTGTTTCTCTTGCTTCAGAGCTAATAACTTAATTATGTAGCCTAAGTTCTAAGGCTGTTTCAAGAATATAAATCAGTTTTGTATCATCCGGAAATCGTGGTACATTGTCATTGTATGACTGCATCATGTTTGTATTAATATTCCTCCATTATAATTACTCTGCTCCTCATTGGTCTTGTGTGTTTATTTGTATGCACAAGGTGACGACCTGGTTTTGAAGGCTAAGAATAAATGCTAATAGGTTTTTTGTGTACTAAAATTAACTTTAAATTTAAGAACTAGTTTGTCAGCTATTTCTAGTCAGTTTTTTCAATTATTATGAAGCCACGAGAGAGAGATATTGCAATATTTAGATATTATAACTAGGTAAATTTTAAAGGTTAAAAAACTCTATCATAGGCAATGAGTATATCGAAATTGATTGACATTGAAGGTGCCTTTTGGAGTTATTTTATTTTTCTTTAGGTACGAAATGCGTCCAGTATCCTTCCAGCTCTAGGTGGGGCGTAAGGAAAAGTTAGTCTCTTAGTTGTTAAAACCACCACGTTCTCTTGTGCTCCGGGACCAGACCGCGATACATGTGCTTGTACACCTAACTTTTTGTTGCTAAAGAATTATTAAATTAAACTAAGTTACTTCAAATGAATGTTTAATATAGCACACAGTAAAAAATAGTCTTTAACTTTTATAAGCGCTAGTCATAACAAAGGTACGACATGTCAGTACATCTCTTAAAATACTGAAATAAGTACAATACACATTTTATTATCCTACCTAACGTAAAAATTATAATGGCAAAACGTTAAACAAAATAATACACGAATATATTAATCTAAATAATATTTAATTTGTTCTTACCACTAAAAATCAGGTAATACAATTAATTCATTTTCGAACAAAAATTCCTCAGGTTCTTGATGAAATGGTTGGTTGGTTTAAAACTTCGAAAGATCTTTCTCATTCTAAAGAACTGTAGGGTGGCTCCTTGAAATACCACTAGAGACTATTCAAACGATTTGGATAGGTAATATTAATATTTTTCAATACCAAAAGAAAATGGCTCGCTGTACTTTTAGTTTTAAATAATTAACAATTTTTGTAATTAAATTTGGAAACGTCTACATAAAAAATATGGATCATCGCCTGTATGGACGACAGTTATTGCAGGACGCTACTGGAGGAATGGCATTTCCAGCCGGAAGATCTGTACGTTTTGCAGGACTTTGTTTAGCAGAGGACATCTTGCGTTTGATATGACAATAATGACTATGGCAGGTATTATTTCTACTTCGTAAGTACAAGTAATATATTTCAAGGAATTATTCCTAATTTTTTTTTTAGGTTTATTATTCGTTACCGATTATGTACATCAGCCAATAGCATCTTGCGATCGTGATCATTTTAAGTCTACGTTCTCCTCTCGATGCTGACGTAGTGGCCAGAATCTGGTTTCAGCATGACGTCCAGCTTGAGCCTCACCTTGGTATGGTCTGCCTTGATCTTATAACGGCGGATCAAGTGAGCGAGGGTGGTCTTCATAGACATCAGCGCATATGCCTTACCTAAAAAGAGGAATATGAAGATGAGAATATTTGAGAAACAGGAATTAAAGTTAAAACAGATTTGTCCATTAGGCAAACTCAAAAACGTTCACAGCTTAAAACAAAGTCGCTTTCTGTCTCTGTCTGTTTTGATGCGATTTTTTTAAAAGCTGGATTGAAGAGGTAGTTTTCAATATATAATAGCGTCTATTATATCGTGGAAAAATTTAGTATCGGCAATGCACCCTTGGGACGCCCGGGGCGCGCTAGTAATAATTATAGACAATTTAAAAAATTAACAAATTGAATATGTTTTTTTTACTTAATAATCACTTTTAATCTCCTTATACTTGCTAGCCAAATTAGGGAACAATATCCAGAAGATGGTTTCTTACCAATACACTGTCGTCTCCCAACACTGAAGGCAGCAAACGCATTAGGGTTTTCTGGCAGTCGGCCTGGCTCCAACCAACGTTCTGGTATAAACTCATTCACATCTGGCCCCCAGACCGGGTGCTTATGGAGTCCAAACACGAATAGGAAGCAAGTGCGACCGGCAGAGAGCGTGTAGTTTTCTGAGGAAAATGACAATTAAAATAATAATTATCAATAAGTTGACTGCACGGTTGGCGCGGTGGTTGAGTAACTGGCTGCAGCGCAATGTCAATTCCCACACGGAACAACCTCCTTTTTGTGTGTGATCCACAAATTGTTGTTCTGGGTCTCAGTGTGATTTGTATATGAAATTGTATGTTTGTAAACACACTCATGACACAGGAGAAAATCGTAGTGTTAAGGTACGTTTAATTAAAATAAAAAATGAAGAACAATAAAACATAGTGCCTACTTTACGCACTATTTTTCACTTCGGATTTGTAGGTACTCTTACACAAAACACTAAGACCGGGAGCAATAAACCACACAAAATTGTTTCCAGCAGGAACCAGACCAGTCTTCCATTCTATGTACTAACAAAAGTAAGGCCATAACAAAATTCATCAGTTTTACTAACGCAGAGAGTGTAAAAAAGTGGTGTTAATATTAATAAAGTATTACAACTACTACTAACATATTATTTAAGTGCCATTAATCCCCCCATAACAGATTAACTCACTCAGTTTAACATCCCTGTCGAGTTTCCTGGCAAGCACCGGGACGATAGTGAATACCCTCATGCTTTCCTTCAGCACAGCCTCTAAGTACACCATCTGTGACAGATCTGTCTTCTCCACGTCTCTGTCTCCTCCAAGGACCTCTTGAACTCTGAAATATTTAAAAGCAATAAAATAATTCCCTAAGAAATATTTTTTTATCTTTTTAACCAATTAACATCAATCTATTTGCTTTAGTTTTTTGTTCGAATTAGGATATATTTTCTTTGTGAAATTAATCTGCCAATCCAATCCAACAACACATAACCAAATTCACCCACCACTAGCAATAAGCCTTTTAACGCACCCCCAATCAGTAGATAGCAAAAAGGAGATTATAAATACAGAAAAAAACGCTTTACATACTGCTGCAATATTGCAATTTTTTTTCAATGCAAAAATATTAATAGTATAATCAATACAATTTAAGCACTTACTCTGCATAAGCCTTTTCCTGAACCTCAGGGTGTGACCCGAGCAGTATCATGGTGAACATTAGTACGTTAGCTGAGGTGTCATGGCCGCCGACGATCATGGTGTCCACGTGCTCTCGAATCTCTCTATCGTTGAACACACCTTTCTCAACTGACAGCTCTAAGAGAAGGTCCATGAACGCTTTGAACTTAGTTCCTGGAAAGTACACATAACTTCAACCTTTAATTCTTAACCTTTCATTCTCCGATGACATAAGACCCACTATTTATCCTTGCTACAATAGGCCCCTAACGAAATCCCATGTTACTGAGTCATAATCTGATTTACATGATGACAAAAGTAGTGATAGAAACTTACCAGGAATTATACTTCTCTCAGCGCAAACATTTCCATTGAATTCGGATTTTCTTCTTTGCAGCACCTGAAGTAAATTCGTATAATAAACAAATATGTTGGCTTATAAAAAAGAGAAAAATGTTAAGTGTTTGAGAGCTATCCTTTTGTATTGCACGGCCGACCCGTGCAATACAAAAGGATAGCTCTCAAACGACAAGACAAGGCGAGAATTATACCACTCACAACCTCACAGAAAAACCTATGTGCATCAAACGCTTGCGTTGAGTTTCGTCTTGTGACTATGGTCACCGGATGCCATCCCTCATCTCTAATACCCAAATTCTCAATTCCCAAAAGATCGGCAACGCATTTGTTATACCAACGTTGCGAGTGATCATAAGCGGCAATTATTTACCATCAGGTAATCCACCCACTGGTCAGGAGACTGTATCACAAGAAATCTATCCCAAAAATGAAACGTGTTGATTTTCGATGAAATTGATTGAGATTAAACATTTTCTACTTCTCCTTTTCAAATCTTGAACTCACTTGGCAGTTATTACATAAATCTTTTTTTGAAATATTTTCCTTACCATATTAGACATATTGTGTAAGATCTTCAGACATTCGTCCTGCTTCTTCTTGACGTTACTCCAGGCGAAGGTGTAGGGGCTGTGCCACCAGAACTTCATGAATCGCTCCACTATTGTGTTGAGGATCACCTCCGTCGCTTCCACGTACTGGCTGTTCAGGTTGGAGTCTGTGAAGTCCACTCCCAATGCTGTCACTATAACATATGCAAAGTATCAGAAATATGTGATACCAGACTAAATGAGTTTAATATAACACGGTACCTTGGTTGTGAGTTACAAATATAATGTTATACTTTGTTTGGCCTTCTAAACTCAATCAAAATTAACTCGAATGATCGATCGGTAATGCACGACAACTTTCGGACGCTCGGCAAAGACAAGAGGCCGGCAATGCACTTTTAGTAACTCCTTTGGCATATTACCAGTGTCCACAGGCGGCGCTAATTGCTTACCACCAGGTAATCCGATTGCTCGCTTGCCCACCTATGACATTTTTTTTTTGCCAATTATGTTTACCTCAGTCTCTGTAAAAATCATCCTCCATTCATCATTAATCTGTCATCATTACCTCCAGTAGCACATGAGTAAATCAAGTCACGTATTTTGACACTGTTAACACATTACAATATTTAAGGAAAATCCTTTGTTAATGAGTATCAAGTCTATCACAGCTTGATTGTATCAGGTGTGCCTGTCCTAATTTGGTACTACTTTATTAAGCAGTAAGAATCATAATTGTATATCAGACTTACAACAAATGGTCTCCAAGGCATTATGTCGCGTATAAGTCCAATGGTCAAAGAGACCTTTTCCAGCCTCCTTCTCCAGTTCCTTCACCAGTTTCCTGGACTGACTGTTGAACACTCCCATGAATGTGTCCAGCAAGATCTGGCTGAATGCTGGGTTTAGGAATTTTCGATGATTCTTCCATATTGAATCTAAAACAAACCCACGACATAATCAGATAGTGTGTGTGTGAGAAATTTCACATAAAAAACGACGTAAGTACATTGGACGAGACATATTACTTGCTAATTATGAAATAGCAAAAACAACAAAATCTAAAACTTCTTTACTTGATTTTCAATCCAAGCAGTTAGCACTTAAGTTTAAAATGTAATGAATAACTATGGTAGCTAAATATGCTGGTAAATATGCTAATTTAAGAACTCACATTTCCCAGTGACTAGACCCTCGCCTAGCCACGGTTTGGCGAAGTCGTAGAAGCCGTCCTTTTCCAAGCACGTGTTCGCTATAGTAAAACTGTCATCTGGGTCGGTTACAACTGGAAAACGAGAAAAATATTTGATCTTAATATTACATTCCACTTTTGGTATTTTGCATTTCACGTTGTACCCTGTATCTTGTGTGTATTTTGAATTTGTAGATATTGATGATAGATAAAGCGAAAGCCGTGTTGCCAAAATTATATCTTTCGGCCGTCTCATTGCCTCAGCCTAATCTAATGGGATAAAGGTGTCACTAACCGTACGAATGTAACACAATATATGTATATTATATTCTTTAAGTGTGGGAGAGCCATGCTTCGGCACGAATGGGTCGGCTCGACCGGACAAAAACCACGGCCTCACAGAAAACCGGCGTAAAACCACCACAGAGTTGTTTTTCGCCGTGTCAGTGAGGTTACCGGAAACCCAATCCCTCCTTTACTCCTCAACCCTTGCCAATCCTTAAATATCCGAAACCCTTATCTCCAAAAGACCGGCAACGCACAGTATCCATGGGCGGCGCCGATTGCTTACCATCAGGTTTGCATATTATTCGCATCTGCTTTAAAGGTACTTTTTAGGTAAAGGTACATTATGGTTTCCATAGTAGAAAATCAGTGAGTAAGTAAATAATATCATCAGACTCACTGTAGACAGTGCGTGGTCCAATACTAGCCGACACCACTCCACCAATGTCGTAGCTCTGTCGTGCCAGGTCGTTGATACCGTCCCATAGTTCTGCCAAATAAAATAGTACAATATAAATAATTCTAATATTTTTCCATAATCCCTGGGATATTTTGTTGAATTTTAAACTTCATCATAAAACAATAAAGTCGTAAATTTATTTAAGCAGGAAAAACTGCTGCGGGGCAAGCGCAACTAGGTACCGCGGCCTTGGCTTGGAGTAGAAGGAACAGGGGGGTTTTTAGTTAGCAAGAGTCTGACACTACTTGCTTTAGCCAGAACCAGGGCAGGAGAAGATATTTGATGATTTTTCTCTCCCAAAAAAAGTAGTGCACTCACTGCAGCTATCTCCAAGGAGTTGTGGTGCATGTCCGACGATGGGCCATCCTCCAGGGAAGAAGGGCGGCTCGGTGGCCTTTATGCGCATGCGCATCCACGCCCAGTACGCTGCGCACGCGATGCACACTAGCGCCACCGCGAACATTGTTGGTGTTTCAAAATTTCAGCTTTCTTTGAGTTACTGGAAAGGGGTTAAAGATTTCTATAATAAAAGTGATTTGCTCTTGAGAATTTTGTTCAGTTCTTTTGCATATCTTTTAGTCAATTTTTGTCATAAATTCACGTGTTTTAGTCACCGAAAGAATAGACAAAGGATTAATTGTTACAATTTAACACACTCTTTCGACAACCCTATAGATACTGTTAGGATATTTAAATCAGGCCTTCGTGATATTTATGTTATGTTTTCCAAAAAACAAAATATGCTTAATAGACCTAAGACCTCTTTGATCGACAGCCTCACTTATACTAACTCGACAATTCAAGTATTCATCTACACTCAGAACTCAATTACCTAATTGTAACTGGATAGGATTTCGCGAAAGTATTTTCAGAAATATCAAGTTACAACTAAACTGGTCTGTGTGTCGTGTTGTGTTACGCTTCGAAACATTACAAATATTTCTAGATCTAGAAAATACATATATTTGCACGCTATTCTTATAAGAAGGTACATATATTATAAGTGTGAGAGAGCCGTGTCTCGGCGCTAATGGACTAGTGAGCCGGCTCGACAGGAGTGTTACCACGATTACCGGCGTGGAACAACGCTCGCGTTGTGTTTCGTCGTGTGACTGAAGTTACCTTAAGCCTATTTCTACCACCTTTTCTCACTCTCCATATCCCGTAATGTTGTAGTAACTCCAACACACTTGTAGTTACTCCTTGGTGGTGGTATTACGAGTATAGACACTCGGGTGGTGCCAATTGCCTACCATCAGGATTATAATTATCATTTCTCAGAATAACCCTTGCTAAGTAGTGGGCACTTATAGGCTGATAATATACTTATATTACATATCTCTCCGACACACTAGTAGAGATTCATAAGAACAATTTGTAGAACACAATTTCTCTATCTGAGTGCCTATTTTTCTAAATTAATATCACATCACACTACAATTATGATATCTAAACAAATATTAATTAAGTTGCAAATTCAATAAATAAAACATTCTAATCACTAATAGATTAACTTCAATATTAATATAAATGATCACCGGAACACTTTATTTAATTCAAACAACTACAATAACAATTAATTTATAAACATTTATCACTTCACTTAACACACATCACATATTACCTTTCAATAGAGTTGAGAATCCAACTTCACACTTGAAATAACTTATTAGGAATCACAGGTTAATTGCTAATTGTATTTCAGCCGCTACTGGCCCACTGGTACTGTTATTCGCTGGACATGAGAGTGGCCTTACCGTATGTCCTGTGTTTCGTCAGTGGCAATAAGTTTTCCAAATAGTTTGATAGCCCTATTACACCGGCTAAAGGTACACGACTGGACTAACATTGCTTAAGACATGCTATATATCCGAAGGGCAGCCAATCACGCAGGGTTGTCTCTTGCAAAATTAATTTAAAAGGAGTATATTAGTATCGTATTCCGTAGGTACTTTAGCTATTTTGGTAGCCTTGTGGTTATAAATTGTGACTTGAAAAGGGTGTCTACTGGATCCTGGATGAGTTTTTCAATAAAACTTTCATTGGCAAAGAAACTTTGAATATAGAATGGTCATGTCGTTTTCTCTTTTATTTTTCACCAAATAAAACTGCACAGATACTTTGAGACAAAACATTTAAAGACATGAAAATATTTCTAAATATATTTATATTAAAATTATTCTTTTGTCCCTTCCTAACATAATATTTTGCGCGGTGTTAAACATCCCACGGTTCACTTCTCATTATTGTAATTACTTTTAAATAAACTGCTAATAAAACATAGTTAGTCACACGGAGATAAATTTCAAATTTTATTCAAACTATTCAGTGGATTTTTTTATAAACAGTTTCAGGATAAAGCCCAACGCCAGGACTTTCTCCTGTGTCCTGGGTGCATTTACAAATATACAGTTTAACATACACATCACACTCAGACCCGAAATATTATTTTTTGAATCACACAAAGAAGAAACAAAGAGAGAAAAAGAAAATAGAATTTGGATGCGCGATGTCGCCGCGACGCGTATGCTGCTCATAGTCCCATTATGACCTGAAACTAGTAAGTAAGGGTTTTCCCAGTTAATTCACGAGACTGAGACGTTATTTTCAATAAATCACCCAAAGAGTTATTCCGAGCAAAAACGATTCATTGATTAAGTAGACACTCAACCCTATTAATAAAGAAAAATGAAAAATACGTGTCGACAACTTCAGAACACACGAGAAAGCCTTACCGTCGTATCCCTAGCCCTGTACACACGAACCTTGCGCCACATATATTTGCTGGCGCATTTTTTCAGTTTCCTAAACTTAATTAAAACAATGTTCACACTTCCCCTTGTGTGGCGGGTTTTTACAGCAGCGGGTGTATCAGTGCGTGTAATGACGCTGTATCATGACGTGTTCGCATCGACCGCTATCTACCCTGATTTATACTGTACTTTATTGGCCTAATTAAGTCCAAATACTTCATCTGGTATGATTATGGTTAGATTAATTGCTCAGATTGTCCATTGCTGTGATCTATAGTTCCCCATGCCCATCACTGTGCTATTTTCTTTAATTGCATTAATCCTTTTTGAGTGGGGAAACTTCTCTTGCCCACTAGGGGAGAGGTAACGTCAGACTCTTACTGACTGAAAACCACCCTGTTCCTTATATCCTGTATAAAGAGGTAAGTCAAAGAGTACTGCTTCCGAATTAATTCAAATATGTTATTCTTTACCCGGATATTATGACGCCTTAGAGAAGTATTGTATAATATACTGTACTCTGCCATCACCATACTCACATCATCAGCATATAACGCCCACTGCTGATCAAAAGTCTCCTCTCACACGGAGCATTTTAGAGCAGAAGGAACGGGGGTTTTTAGTCAATAAGAGTCTGACATTCTCTCTCGCCTTACCCTGGCCGAGAGAACTCATATTCCCCTGACAAAAAAGTTTTCCTCACTATCCTTTCCGTAAGTCCATGGTATGGTAAATAATCATAGAAAGTACCATATAACTCGACAAAAGTCACAATGAAACTTGGCAGGTTTCGGCACCCTCATGAATGAGAAGCGGGCGCCTTTACCTCTATGCAACCCTGACTTACTATCACCCCACTGCTCAATATGAAAGGTATTATGAGCAGGTAAAACGTAGCCCACGTGGCGTATCAGAATGTGTTCGTATTTTCATGACCTAGAAACCTCGTTGTTCAAGTGACTGCAACTGTGACTGCTAGACACGAGGGTCTTACACATCCCCGCATCCTGGATCCAGTAGGTCAATTGGGCATAATATTTTAACTTCAAGTAGAAAATAAAGAAGAAAGAGTAGTCGTTGGATTTTGGAAAACTTTTGTAAATGTATTTCACTCCCCTCCCATTATACACTCTCACAAAAAAAAAACAAATTTAAATTAATTTAACTTTAAGTTAAGAGCTATGCTTCGGCACGAATGGGTCGGCTCGACCGGAGTGATACCACGGCCTCACAGAAAAACGGCGTGAAACAACCACAGCGTTGTGTTTCGCCGTGTGATTGAGGTTACCGGGAAGCCCAATCCTTCCCCTGCCCCAATCAGTCCCCAATCCCTAAATCTCCAAATCACGAATCCCTAAAAGGTCGGCAACGCACTCGTAACTCCTCCGTTACGGGTGTCCATGGGCGGCGCTGATTGCTTACCATCAGGTGATCCGTCTGCTCGTTTGCCAAACTATTACATAAAAATAAACTTCCAAAAACATTTTTAGATTTGGCACTCAGCGCGTCGCGCTTATAATTCCTATTATTAGCTGATCATATTGATTTCTGAGGAGTTTCACTATAATAAAGTAATTATGTATATGAAACCACACTGACACTTTTCTCTCTTGAATGCAAGAAGAAATTTCAAATCGGACTGCACCGAGTACGGCCAGCGCGGCGGGCGCCGGGCATGCTATTCAATAAAATATGCAGGAAAGTACATAAAAATACGCTGAAATTGAGAACCTCCACCTTATTGAAGTGGGTTGAAAAAAAAACATAAAATATTGTTTTTGTGAATGCAAATACAAAACCAGCAAGAATTGAAGAAGACAAACTTCAGTTGGAATACTTTCGGAACGCAACCATTTTTTAGTATGTTTTTCTCCCACTATTGTCGCCTCCTTCCTTTTGAATTGAACTTTGTAAACGGTCGTACGATCAAAATAAATGACACTGCGTATTTTGGGAAACTTTCTTTTATTAAAATATCGACGCAAATTCCTACAACTTCATTTATAATCCCCGATCATTACTAGACTTATGAAGCAACCTAAACAACCAGGCCAAATAGATACCCTAAAACAATCAAACGAAACGACATAGCTATGACGGAACTGATAACTCGGTAACTATGAACAAAATAAACGCTAACTATCTAATAACAGATACTTACTGACTGTTTGTTTGTAGGTAATATAATTAGGCAATGTTAGTAGTATTGTTTGCAGTTGTAACATCCTACGCATTGCCCTGGAACTCTGTTCAATGTGTTGTAATTTATGAGTAATGCACTTTCGAATAATGTGCACTTTATTTGTACTCAGTCGCATCCGATTTCAATAACTCCTTATTGGCAAATTAATAAGCGTAAAACTAATATAGGCACGTTATACTTATATTACACGCGTTACATTTAAGAACTCTTTTAATGACTAGAGAAAATAATGTAATCATATTTTTTTATGGTATAAGTCGGCAGACGAGCAGACGGATTATGGACACCTGCAACACCAAAGAAGTTACAAGTGCGTTGCCGGCATTTTGGGGATAGGGGTTGCGGATAAAAGGATCGGGAAGTGATTGGGGAGGGGCAGGGATTGGGCCTCCGGTAACCTCACTCACACGGCGAAACACAACGCTATGTTTGTTTTACGCCGGTATTCTATGAGGCCGTCGTATCACTCCGGTCGAGCCGATCCATTCGTGCCGTTGGCTCTCCCGTACTTAAATATTGTTAGTTACTAACCCACGATTTCTGACTTCGAGGTGACTGAATTATCAACAACCAATCAGATGACTTGACAACAGATTTAACAGGAGATTAGTTAATTTTAGCGTTGACAAGCCTTTCAGAAACCGGGTGTTAGTGTGGGAGAGCCATACTGCGGCACAAATGGACCATGGACCGATTTGACAGGAGTTTTATCATAGTGTAAGAGAATGCAGGCGTGAAACAACGTTTGCGCATTGTGTGATTGTTGTTAATACTTACGTAAGTATTATGGGATCAACCCCCAATCTTTAAATCTCTGAAAACCCGCAATAAGTTTATAACGTACTTTTAATTCCTTTGGTGTTGAGTGTGTATGATTGATTGCTTATCATCAGGAGATCCGTCTGTTTTTTTCTCATAAGGTTTCATGTTAGTAATTCTCAATTTACCAAAAAGCAAGGAATGTCAATAAAGAATAGTTTTTTTTTTGTTTGCAATGGCTTTAGTGACATAAGAAATGAAAATAAGCAACTTTACTTACTGTATTTTTACTTTGATATTTTCTTTAATAGGAAGGTAATAAAATTGATATGAATAAAATTGATGTATTATGTATACATGTACAATAATATATTCAGATCCAAATCCACAATACACTTACTTCAACGACTTGATCAAACGGAAAAGAGATCAGTTTACAGATTATGAAATAATTGACATGAAACAGAGGTAAATTCAACCCTGAATCTTGGCAAAAAAAGTACAAAATGGCATAAAACTAAAATAAACTATAAAACCTTCAATATTGTAAGGATAAAGATCAGGAAAAGTTGAATTACTTCACAATATTGACGGAATAAATAAAGTAAAAGTGACATTTAGAGGCGGTACCCCAATTAGATGGTAGATAACTATGAGAGTTAGATCTTAACTAAATAACTTGCAAAACTTTCTTTGGTATAATAATTCCGAGTTTTATTATGACACGAAATATTAAAAAATCGTCATTTTTAACACTAATGATCTCTTCATGGTTATTTTATTTATTTAAACTTTATGCAACAAAACATTACATAGGCGGACTTAAAGCCGTAGGCATTCTCACCAGTCAACCTTAGGGTGATGCAGAGAGAGTATGGTAGGTGCAACAAGAAGAGAACTTTGAGACGATAAATTAAGATTTAAAAATACAACAAAAACACTAAAATAAATAAATATTTATATATATAGAATAATATAATTATACTGGTATATGGTGGTATGGTTAATAAAATAAATACTCAATACATACTCTATATTATTACATAAATAGTGGCATAAATATATATTTATATATATATATGGTTATGTTTTAGGACTTTATCAAATGTAACATACTGTCCCGCGATTTAATTCCCAAAAATAAAGACAGATCACACACAACGCCCCCATTCCAGCAGTTAGGTATGTAAGGAGTTCCATTATCAATAACCATCAATAAGGTAACATTAAGGTATACACCAATAAGGTACATTTCCCGACTGCCTGCAAATACCATCGTTTTTTTATGTTATAGGACCGTAATCCAGTAGACGGATTACCTGATGGTAAGCTTTCAGCGCCGCCCATGGACACCCGCAACAACGGAGGAGTTACGAGTACCTTGGCGAACTTTTGAGGATGAGGGGTTTTGGGATATTGGGATTGTGGAAGAATGGGGGAGAAAAGACTGATTTTGTAAGACCCAAAAGACATAATCATAAATCTTTCATAACAAAAGTCTGGTATCATATCCGAATCTCCTTACTCGACTGTCATAAGATACCACTTTACTTCTTATATTAAAAGAAATTTAATAGTTCTTCAACTGAATGAAAAAGTCTTTCCTATTTCGTCTCTAAACTACATTCTCAAAAATGGGGCACACCATCATTCATGTTAACCTCAAGACAGGTCAGTCATCAAGCTCCATCCTTATTAGCGACTGGCACAGGAATACTGCTAGGGCTTTGGTAATAGTGAGGAGTTTCATTCAGCGTGGTAGCTCCAATGACGTCACCGCCCGCTACTAGAAGCAGCCTCCTCTTCCGATGATGGCGGAGCAGTGACGTCACGCTTGCAAAGCTCTGTTCCCCTCGCCGAGGGAAGCCGAGGGCCAGCCGACCGTCTGGTCTCCGACGAACACCGACATTGTGAACTGCGTTTGAGCACGCTACGCTTAACGTATAGGCGTGGTCCGGCTGGAAGATAAGGAATGTTAAACTTTTAGATATTGTTTTTGAGAAAAAAATACTTTGAATGTCCAGCAGTAATGTACTGGAATTTTTAAATTGCCTAAAGCACATTTATGGAAACAAAATTTCAATTTTTAAATTACTCAAGGTACTGTTTAACCAAGGTTGCTGGAGCAAGCGCCATAATGTACCGAGGTCTCAGCCTAGAGCAAGAGAAGAAACGGTTTTTAGATGACAAGAGGCTGATACTCTTTCTCGCCCCATTCAGGGTCCACCACACAATGAGCACACCAGGGCTCAAAAAAGTCTCGGTGTAATTCCTTTTCTTACTTGATTAATGTTCTTATGTAAAGATCAATCCCAGCTTTTTCAGTATTGCCATCTTTTACGAAAAGTTTGCTGTATATTAAGAAAGTTCACCAACAGATAAAACTGAATTACCTGACTAGACGGCCTCAGTATAAACGTGCCATCAGGCTGACCCTTCAACAAGTTTATTGCCTCTGCCCTGTCCACATTCATGTAGTAAGGCTCGTTCTCCACGGGCACAGGGAGTGGTCTGTCAGCCATGTTCGTCCCGCCAGACTTGCGGGATTCTGGCCATTTGCGAGCTGCATCCTCGCTCGGTGTGCTCTCCGCCTTATGAGAACCTGCCTCTGATTCTTCTGACGGCTGATCGTCATTTGTTTCTGGAAAAAAATTGAAATTATGTTTATTTGTATTTTTTATATACATATATTTGGTAGGGAATGTTCCACAAGGCATTAAAAAAATGTCTTAACAAAAATAAAAATTAAATATTTTTCAGTAAGCAGCTTGAAACATGAGCATTGTGAAATAAAATGAAAATGACCAGTCATCCCTTGTTTGTCCTAACAATATTCTAAGTGTGAGAGCCAAGCTTTGGTACGAGTAAGTCTGCTCGACAGAAGTGTTACCACGGGCACATAGGATACCGGCGTAGAACAACCACAGGGTTGTGTTTCGTCGTGTGAGTGAGGTTACCGGAAGCCCAATCCTTTCCCTCCCCCATCTCTTTCCAATCCCTAAATTCCTAAAATCCGAAACCCTAATCCCCAATAGATCGGCCATGCACTCATGTCGCTTCATAACATAAAACAAAAAAAAATAAAGACAATGTTGTCAGTGTCAATTAGCACCTGCGACCACATCAGTAAGGCAGTGCACGACATTGTAGAACTGGTCGACCACGGTGGAGCCGATCCTGGCTCCGAGGTTGTATATCAGGGGCACACTCACTTTCAACCACCAGCACATTTTTACACAACTAACATTTTATATGAAACAGTGTGTTCCGTATTTTATCATTCTCATTATTTCTTTAAAAAACACAATCTAATTCACTTCTTTAAAAAGCTTTCCTAAAAATCAGTCTATCCATTATTATTTTTTCTTTTGATAAAACATTGCACAGCATAAAGACTTTCTCCTGGGTGCGTTTACAAACATACAATTTCACATACACATCACACCCAGACCCGAAACAACAATTTACAAATTGTTAATGACCTAAAGAGAGATGATAACCTAAAGAGTTGTTCCGCTCGAGAATCGAACCCGCGTCACGTTGCGCGGCAGCCGGTTGCCCAATCACCGGGTCAACCGTTTAGACATACATATTGAGAACTGTTAGAAAATGAACGTAGGTACAGGAATGTAAGCATTGTTATCTATATTAATATTATAAAGAGGTAAAATTTGTAAGTTTGTATGTAGGGGGTAATCTTTGGAACCGCTGGTCTGATTGCCGAAATTCTTTCACTGATAGATAGCTACAATGTTCCTGAGTGCTATCGGCTATAAAACATCACGCTACGATCAAATGGAGCCGAGCAGCGGGTGAAACCGCGAGTGATTAGGTAGTACATATACACACATAGTACATATAGATACAATTTCAAACCGTTTTTTTTGTCATGTGAATCCTCACTATAACAAAATATTATCAAAGATTATTTCATTGGTAACCACTTAAATTTAAAGTACGAGGTCTTTGAAGGTTAAAATAGGGATTATGGAACTTAAAAAAAACGTAAACTCTAAATTTGTGTCTGACTTCAAACGTGTGAAGTTCAATTAGAATCAATTGTGATGTCACGTTAGTCACAGTCACGTCTGAGTGTGACTCATCGTCTCGGACGTTACATTAAGTCACTATTCAATTACACTTACAAGTATCAAGATTATCTATATACTACGATCTTTGTCATGTCGTAAAACTTAATACAATCATGAGGAACATAGATCTTTATGAGAATCTATGTTTACTTTTGAGAATTCATAGATTCTTGTACGAAACGAAAACGTAGGCTTTAAGATTAATCCCTATTTTTTATTTATTTATTTATTAGAACATAATATAACAGTTTACAACCTATAGGGCTGATGTTCAGCCGGGGTTGCGGGTTAAGCGCAATGAGTCACCGCGGCCTCGGCCCAGAGCAGGAGATGGAACGGGGGGGTTTTTAGTCAGTAAGAGTCTGACACTCTCTCTCGCCTTACCCTAGGCGGGAGAACTCATTTGATGATTTTCCCCTGACAAAAAAAAGCTTTAGGATTAATGATAGACTCTAGAATCGGTTTTAAATTATTTAACGATAGATGTTTTTTTTTTATTAACACTTATCACACTTTTGGTCGAGTTTCTGCCGTGTATAAGGTTTGGCTCCCGTAAGGAACAACTCTTTGCCTGATGCAGAACGTATTGTTTCGGGTCTCGGTGGTTTGTGAATGTAAATTGGTATGTTTGTAAACGCATCCACGATACAGGAAAAAGTTCTAATGTGAGACAAAGTTTTAATAAACAAAAAAATGTCTGACTCCAGTACAACTTGAACTTGAATGATATTGCACCATTAAATAACTTTCGAGCTTACAACATAATAATTAAGATCACATTTAGGTTATCAAAATTGTACACAGAAAATAATTTTCTAACTCCCAGTAAACAGAAACTAAAATCTCACTATCACACAAACTTTTAGTTTTAAAACTATGAGCATTTTGAAAACGTTCACTGTTCATGAAAAAATTTTTACACAACACATTTCCAAATTCACTTTTTACATCTCACATTATTATTTAGAAAATTAATTTTATATCTACTGTTATAATTTCTTTATGAAAATACTAATGAATGAAAGTAACACAAGCTTAGTCTTGTGTCACTCCATCCATTCTAATAAGCGGTAAACAAATAATTGTTCCACGCCACCATAGCTTTTTTATTTTGATAAACACTCATTTGATGCCGCAGGGATGCTTGCATGTGAAAGTTTTGTCGACAACAAAATTAAAAACAATGAAACAAAGTTTTAAGTGTTAGAGACCCATGCTTCGGCACGAATGGGCCAGCTCGACTGGAGTGATACCACGGCCTCACAGAAAACCGGCGTGAAGCAACACTTATGTAGTGTTTCGCCGTGTAAGTGCGGTTACCACAGGCCCAATTTTTCCCCCTCCTCCCATCAATAATCAATCGCAATTTAATCAATGTTGATAAAATATGAGGATTTATAATAACTATCGTGAGACATACTAAATATGAGGAATGGAAAAATGTCAATTGCCTTTAACCTTTAACCTAAGTCGGTTTGAATAATCTTCAATATAAAATTCAACAAACAAACACATTTATTACATGTATTAGATGTAAAGCAATCAAATAATACGTGCAGAGTCAATCTTTTATCGATACGCGATAACTTTTACAGATAATAAAATCGATGTGATTTTCCTGTAACTCAGATTTCGGTACAAAAGTGAAGTGCCTACATGGTAATAAAGCTGCAACTAGCTTTCAGCATAGTTCGTCCTCTTTTCCAATAGTTCCTGTTAACACGATGCCTTTATTATTATTTCTCGAAAACGTTATCATTATATATTATTCTTCACCACTAAAAACTTATTTTCAAAAAAGATCCTAAATTATCGATACCCGCTGTACCCCATCTCTACACACATGTCACCCACACAACACATGTCCAGGAAATAAAAGAAAAAAAGTGATGAGAAAGTATAACCCGCCCAGTATCATTGTACCTTATAAATAAAAATTTAATATGTTTTTACTAAGAGACATTGACGTAAATATATGACAATATTAGCTTTTACCATCAGTTACGCCATCGTTATCAGTATTATATGCATCTATACATATACTTAATGGTTTTTTCAGACTATAACCTGTCTCTATATTTCATTCCAATCTGTTCAGTATTTTAGGCGTGAAGAGCTGTAAACATACATACAGACATCCTCAAAAACTATTTTTTATAGGATAGCCACAGCCAACGACGAAACGGATCACCTTATGGCAAGTGATAAGCGCCACCCAAGGACACCTGCGGCACCAGAGGAGTTACAGGATTGCCGGCCTTTTAAGAAAGGGTACGACCGTTTCTTGTAAGTTAGAAAGCTGTATCGGTTTGGATATACCGCCGCCAAAAAATCATTCTATTCTATGTTATTTATATCAGTAAAATATATACCTTTTTCTTTGTAGAACTGCCTACTAAACGTTGCTTTTCAAAAAAGTTAAGTCACAACTACAAACATGCTAATCTCTTACTGGCTTCAAATTGAATTTGCGACTTGATACTAAATTAATTAGTCTTGCACTGTCCTAATTTCTTCAATACCGAGACATGTATCTGAGCAATAAGCAGCTGCATGGCTGTGCAAGGTCAATTGTCAAATTAGGTGACTGCATTAATTAAATTAAGGATGGACCAGTTTTCGCCCTTAATACAGCTGATCTTTGAGGTCATTTTATTGTTAAAAATATTTTACATTCCCTAAATAATCCTAATGGCGCGACGGTGAAATTTTTACACGGTTTACCTCCATCTTAAAGAGACTCGATGTAGAAACTAAATCCTCATCGATATCTCTATTTCTACGAATTAAGAAGGTTAAATTGCAAGTGATACGCAATCTGAATTACATACCAATTCATGATAATCAAAGTCTATTTTACCTTTATCGAGATAATCCATGATTACAATCCTAAATAAACTTAATAATGAAATATTTCTTACCTCTTCTGATCCCGAATCTGTTCTCGAAAATGCTGAGTATGTATCCCAGTAGAGAGTCGTCCTTCTGTTTGTAGTTCACGTCACAATAGTCTTTGTTCAGCTGCACTGGCTCTAAGTAATCTTCCACCGGTATCTTCAACTGATGAAGAATAGGATAATGTAAAATCTGTAACTTGTCAAAATTATCTAGTTCTGGAAATAACACTTACTTGACTCTTCACTTCGTCTTCAACAGGTCTAATAACATGTACAGAGTCATACATATTAGCAACACTGTCGTTCTCATAAATATTCGATGATTTCTCACTCTCTATATTCCTAGCCGAGTCTTCTAACATTTCATGCTTCTTAAAAAACGGCACTTTGAACGACTGAAACAGTTCTTGAATCTTAACTATACAAGGTTTAACACTAACTACTCTCTGTTCTACTGGTTTATCTTTCTCTTTGTCAACTTCATTGTAACACAAGTCTTCGTAGAAATGATCTTCGGGACATTTTTCACTGAATTCCTCAGGAGTTGATAGAGTTTTGTATTTTGTTTTGGAGTCAGATTTCTTGTAAGACCTAGCTGTGTAATATCTGCTGTTCCTCTTCATGGCGTAGTACCCTCTGTCGTTTGAACTTTCTTGTCTGGAGAATCGCGCTCGTATATCAAAGAAAGGATATTCGTATGAGCTGAGTCTGAAAAGTTTCTTTTTCTTGGGAGTGCCAGCATCCATAGGCGGGTACGAAGGTGTTCGTTCAGCTTTTTGTTGATTCCTGTATAGAAAGCTCTTGGCTGGAACTATTCTTCTGATTAGTTCTTCCACAGTGCTCATTGAGTGAGTTTGTCCATTATCATCTTTGCGTCTGTGTGTAACGGTTTGGTACTGGCTCTCGATATCATGTTTGTCGCACGTGTTTTGTGTTTGTATGTCTGTTGTTGTTGATTCTCTGAAATCCAGTTTTTCAATTGTTACGTTTTCGTCTTTGTTTTCCAAATATTTCTTTGGATTCAGTTTCATATCTTCAATGACCGTCATGAATTTCTTAACGTTTGCTTTTGGTCGCCAGAGCTTCACGATTCCTTCGCTGATATCCTGAATAATTAAGATAATAAATCTAAATATAGTGTTAAAGAAATAAAAATGTACAGTTAAAAATAAAAAGTCTTTAAATGTGCAAGTGCTATCATTCATTCTTCCTTTTTTTAAGTTTAGAACTGTATTTATTACTTACATATTTTATCAGTTTCAGTACTTGGATAAAATACGTTAATTAACTCCAGTGTTTGTTAATTAAATTATACGTAGACTGCGCATTACATGTTGCAACATAAGAGTTAAATCAATATTTGTTTATTTCTTATTTCATACCGAGTGACATATATTACGGCTACATCACACAATTTATGTAACCTTAATTGTTTAAAAAGTTAATTAGAGGTGCAATTATTAAGACAGACCACAACTAATGACCTTTCCAATTAGGTATAAGGTATAGGTATATATTTGAGAAGGAATTTTTAATCTAGTTTATTTGACTGTCTTGACTTTACTGTCTATGTCAGTATGGCCAAGACTGTACAACTATTTTTTATCTAGTGGAACCCTTGATCCCGCCGTGACTAATGCTTAAGACAGATCAATAATATGTACGTCAGCCTATTAAATATGAGATCATGCTTGCAGTTTCATTTCATTTTCGTAACCATCGTTTTCAAGACATGCCATTTAACGTCTTACCTAGTGTCGTCATTACAGAAGGACTACCCATAGATGGCATAAACAGTTCCTTAATCAACAAACCAATTACTTTTATAAGAGTGCTCAGTAACGATCGTATCACTTACGAACAGCTTCCTCCCGTCCAAACTCCTCTCCCTCGCAAACTCCACGAACTCCCCTAAGTCCCACTTCTCCAGCAGAGTCACGACTCCTTCTTCATCTAACTTCTCTAGTCTCTTGTACTTCTTGTCCATTGTCTGTCAAAGATTCATGATTTGCATATTTTAAAAGCACTACTAGTATAAAATAAAGTAGCTATCTCTGTACCTATATCCCTATGTAGGCTTAAATCTGTAAAACTGGGTGACAGATCTTGATGCGGTTTTATTAATAGATCAAGTTATTGAAGAGGAGGGTTTTATGCACAATAACATCCATTAAATAGTGGACAAATTTAGTACTTATCAGCATCGCATCCATGGGAAGCCAGGATCGCTAGTTTAACACTAATTGCCAAAAAAGAGATTGCTTAAGTGATTCTGGAATAAGATCCTGTTTTTAATTAGTCCTAAGAAGTACAATGAAAATAATTGGACGAATTACTGAATTTTATTATCAACTTTAGGTACATTCTCAATGTTGGTATAGATTTGAACTCACCGTAATTACATATGCTCTCTGCACATAGCTACCGTGTATGATAATGATAGCCAAATAGATCCGACTCAAAATTTAATGATGCCAAAAATATACACAATAACAACGCACTTGGGCACACAGACAACTTTGTTCTAAGGCACGTACACAGATTTAATGTCTGTATATATTATATGTATGTTTTTATGACATGACTAAATTGTACTAAAATATTCACAAACATTCTAGCTTTTGGCTTTAACAGATCATAAAAAATTCCATTATATTCAGTACTTACGAAAACAAAAATCCAAAACAAAACACAGGCTACATTCACTTCACAACTTTATGCGATTTTTCACGGTAAATAATATCTTGGCCTCACTCACACTAATAGTTTTCTGTATATTGCTGTCCCTGTCGTGTCTAGGACGAAGCGACCTGCCTCTCTGCTGAACCTCAAACGACAGACCAGTGTATGACACAGTGGATTGGACACAATTAGCTTGATTGGTCATCAGCTACGGTTGGGATGTTATGGGTCTGGATAATTCGCAGTTAGATATTGAGAAAACATTAGATTTTTCGAAGTATAAATATGTTTATGCAAACGACATATTATAAAAATTTCACTATTATACAAATAAACGATTAAATTAATCCTTTATTTGTATTATGATATGTAATATAAACTTATAATTTCTTTCTGTGATTAATACTATTTGGTGTAAAAAAAAATAAAAATATAATAATTAAGCAATATCCCACCGGTGAAAAGACGAATCCTAACCGCCGGCCCTCGGGAAAGCAGAATTTTAGGACATAACGCACGGTGTCCAGAATTTGGTTTTACGTCTAGTTAGTGGTTATTGTGTTTGGTAAAAGTGGACGAAAACAAATGAAGATAATACTTATTCATTTTCTATCTGGTATCTAGCAATAAGTAATAAAATCAACAGCTTTCTTAGCATTACCTATATACTTATTTATTACCTATACCTACATATAAAAATTGATGTAAACTAAACTAAAAATTGTTGATAATTTGTTGTATACGGGAATTGAAGATACAACACATTGCGTGGTAGTCTGTTGCCTAGCCATTGCACTAACCGTTCAACAATTTGGCTATTATTGTATGGGCAGGGAAAACATTTAAAAAATGACTAGTATTACTACGCTTAAGGAAAGCCATACTTTCTTTTTTGTTATTCTTATCCTTATTTAGGACTAACACGTCCACTTATCATTGATGATTAATCATCAATTAACTGATAAGTATAGATAGGTACTATCGCCTCGTGTGTCATTGCAATGGTATGATTTAAAGGAATTTGGACTATCCCTACATCATAATGACACATTCATTTATTTATAGAATTCTTATAAATAATAGGTTTATAATAAGGAAATTGTTAAAAGCAGACAGACCGACAGACTATAATTACTTTGTTGAAATAGCAATTTATAATGATTATTATGTTAATGTGTATTATTATTTTAATACTTTATAATATGTTTTGCAATTGTTTGAAATGAATGTTTGTAATTATTATTTTATAATTCTTAAATAATCGAATTTGAAAAAAGAAAAATCTTTGGTAGTACCATAGATTCCTTCTTCTTTTTGAAAACTTTTTCATATTAAAATGTGGTATCGGCTTAACCATTGTTGTAAACCACGTATGGTGGTTGATTTATGTAAAACATGTTCACCAGTTATTTTGTGGACTTTATAAAATACCATGCCCCATAACATTTTGGGAACAAATGGATCAAAGATATTTTTTAAGAGGTTAACAACCTTACTTTCCCCAAGTTGTTTTCGATCTGCACCACCTACAATATAAGTACATAACACCAGAGGAGTTACATACTACATTTCCGATTTTATAAGAAGGAGTTCCTAGTTTACCTAAATGTTTGAAGGTTCAACCTTATAAAGGCCTTCAAAAAAGCTACCAATGCAAACATCTTTAGTTCCTAATACCAGCTGCAGCCTGCAAACTGTCTCCTGAACCCAGCACCTATCTCACACACATTTGACGGGGTCAAGTAGAGTCATCGGATACCACATACATACCTGCCCATATCACAGTACTCCTTCACCTGCATCCCAATTAAACACAACTGCATAAAGTCTAAAATCTCTTGTATCAAATGCATTCATAACTTTGTGCACCTGTTTATGGTGTACCACGATGTGTTGCAGTTGTTATAATTCTTATTGCGTTAGTATTAGGTTGGTTTTTGGAATGGTTAGGTGTATTGGTTGGTTGTGGTGACGAATGAGAGTCAATTGATGAGGTGATGTCATTATATTTGATTGTCGCAGACGGCGCTTGTTATATATAAATAAATAAATAACATAATTAATGACGTCACTATCCACTGGAGAAAAGGTAAAGGTGTTGCTAAGCGTTCTCCCATTTTTGGTTCTCTAGCCATATTGCAAAATAGAACGGACCTCTTTTACATTCGTCATGACTGACTGTCTTTCTGCCGGACGGACAGATGTCGTTCCGAATATTTCAGCCATTTTATCTTATGAATTGTTTCATTTCGAACGGCGTCCGAAACCTTGTAGGCCTTAACAAAAGTAAGTTAAGGTTTTCACTATATTTTCCTTTCCTGAACTCCAAATACCCCTCCTTTGGAACTTTTAAAATTAAAATATTTTTCTTAGATCGTAATTTGCGGTCAACTCATACATAAATTAGTTTATTTTAAAGTTTAATTTTGCTTTGTATACTTAACCTAGTTTTACTTTTATTTATCTGTTTTTTGTTTAATATTATCGCGGTTTATGCGTAAATTATAGTGCATGTGGTGCTCTTCTATAAGTGATGAGGCACTTAGACTTAAGCTTAATAATTGTACAATCACAAATGTAACAGTGTACTCATTGTTGAAGAGCCAAATAAAATAAATAAATAAATAAACATGCAGTAGAAGCTGATAATCATTCAAGGCCTTTATATGAATTGGGAACAGGTCAAGAGAAAATATTATTTGGTAAATAGATAATTTATAATAATATAGCAAATAAATTGAGCACACCTAGCGCATAGGATTGTTGTTATCATTGTTATTCGACAGATAGTTGCCTAATCTAATACAGCCACGCGATAACTTATCGGACACCTACTTGTAACACAATACAAAGAAAACTCGATATACTATCAAACTTCACATCTTTTATTTTTAATACTTTTATATAACATACAATTTTCCACGATGGGAATAAAGATCATTTTACAAAGAAAACAGAATTATATTGTCACTATGTCATACAGTTGTAGTGATTTTAATTATTCAGTCACACGCCACAGCTGTAGGAAGATTCTTCCATCAGCTGTCAGCAAAATATTTAGAGCACTCATTCTGTACCAGGCTGCAACGCATATCCTGGTAAACACACACCATGCTCTCGTCACTTAATCCTAGAGTCTATATTCACATTTTGAACGTTTTCGGAATCACAGTTGGGGAGTCGTCGATCAGCTGATCCTGCAGAGCACGTCGTACATCTTGTGGGCGACCTCCTGCCCAGCGAAGGCGATGTAACAAGAGTTGTGACTCGGGTGAATCTTACCCGGGGTCACAGAGAGCTGGTACCTCGCTCTGCCGACGTACAGAGTCTCACCTGAAGAAGTCCTGCCTCCAGGAATAGCTCCAGGAGGTACGTTACCATTTGAAGCAGGAATCCAGCGAAGGTCCTCAGGCCTGGCACACAATACTTCGATGTTCTGCACTGAAATCTCCTTTCCGGCGTACACAACAGAGGCAGCGTTGTGTCGCACCGACAGCTTGCCCGGCATCAGATCTCCGTTGTGCCAAGCACGTATCACCCACAGGGGACTACCATCCCATCCCTCGTGGCCTCCTACAACCGCTCGGCCAGACAAAGAACTTGCCATTAGCGCGGTTGTAGGCACCCAGTCGTACTCTCCGGGGGCTTCCACGATGGACACCTGCTGGTCGCCTGAAGTCACATTGGTCTCACCGTGGTAGATGTAGTTAGTGATGTAAGTAGACTGTGAGGGAGTTGGTTCAGGTGGAGGTGGCTGCGATGGAGGTACCGGGACAGGGATCATCACGGTACCAGGCACGTAGTACGACGGAGGAGGAGGGTACTGAGACGGAGGGTACCCATAGTCCGGAGGTGGCGGATACATCCCCGGCTGCGAGTGTGGTGGCGGCCAGCCACCGGGTGGTGGGGGGCCATAGGCGTAGGGATGTCCAGATCCAGAATAACTCATGATTGCACTGTATTTCACACAATACTGATGAATGTTCGATGAAGTGCACAGCTTATATCAGAGCTGGTGTGTCTCCTATCTAATCACACAGATACGTGTGTGAGTCATGTGCTCGCCTCGCTCGCAATCAAACAACACAAGTTTCACTTAAATTATTCTTTATTGTTCAGTGTTAATGTTACAAATTAAGTAATAATTTATTACATCTAATTAATAACTATATGAAACACTTACATAAATTAGAGAAAGTTAGAAGAAGTTTTGTACAGGAAGAAAATTCGTGATGTAAATATAGCTAACGATGTGTATCGTCATACAATTTTATTGTTATTGATAAGAAACAAACAATCCGCTGCTTAGTCAAGGGATAATACATTTCTCACTAAATCAGATGACGCAAGTTCTGTTGTTTCGATATTTCGGTATGTATGTCCTGTTTTTTTCGGTGACGTACTAATTGTTGTGTCACATGCACTCGTCTCACGTGTATATATATTGTCTATATCATGAATTTATTTGCTTATTGCATTTTAATGGATTTTATCCAAAAGCAGATATTTAAAGTTCACTTACATTATATCAATATACTTTCACACAAAATGTTCAAAGACATAAGTAAGTTTTAATTGAAATGACAACATTTAAAAACAATTTCAAATATGAGAAAAATCGAAGTTTAATTTGACATGAATAGTGCTGACTCTAAGAAAACTAGTGATGGATGTACACAAGTTGACGAAAATAACCGAAAAGTTGAAACACACAAATTGCCTACATATTGAAAACAAATATCAGTATTTTGGAAAACAAGAAACAAGGCTGAAGTTTTTACTAACGGAATATGATCAAAGACCAATAATTAGTTCCTCATACCATGACACAAATATCTGTGAAGCTCACAATACAATATCGTGCAATAGAGACC